GGGTGTGAATTTACCAGGAGGAAGGGATTACTGGGGACAGCTTAGAGTCTGTCTGCCATAGTCCTCAAATAGCTGCTCCATGGATTCCGCCCAGGTTTTACAGCTTTGTCCCGTGGGAGAGAAAGAGTAGAGTGGGTAGAATGTCCTTTTTCCATCTTACCTAGACCAGAACCTTCTGTGAAGCTTTTTGATTTGGTTTATGAACATTCAGGGTTAATTTAAGGAATTTCTTTAAACTCAAGCTATCGAGGACCAAATTAGGGTTGGATTAAGCAGTGGTCTGAATTAAAATTCTGAGATATATTAATCTATTTATTAAATCATGACCAAGGAACGCTCAACTTTTGTATCTAAGATGGAGTCTTTTGAAAGCTGAACTTCCATGCCTTAAAACATAACAGGTATTTCAGCCTGTCATTGTGGCTGCTCACCAGGTGACCCCAACAGACACATCTGGCAAGCACTGACCTTTATAAATTTCTTCCATCTGATGGTGACTCCTGACCCACTTTTAATTTCTTTTAATGACTTCCTAATGACTTGTCAGATCCGGCCTCTCTTTTCTCCTACTTAATGTGATTTTTCAGTACCGAGACCTCACCCTTGAAAATATGCTTGATCCTTTCTCTATTTAAGTGAAAAATTACTTGGTATTCCTTTCTTTTCTTCATGAAGGAGCTGGCCCTTTGAATTTGAGTCCCTTGATTTTTTTTTTTTTTTTTTTTTTTTTTTTTTTTTTTTTTGAGACAAGGTCTTGCTTTGTTGCCCAGGCTGGAGTACAGTGGCTCAATCATGGCTTACTGCAGCCTTGATCTTGCAAGCTCAAGTGATCCTCCTGCCTCAGCCTCCTGAGTAGCTGGGACAACAGACATGTCCCACCATACCTGGCTATTTTTTTTTTTTTTTTTTTGAGATGAGGTCTTGCTATGTTGCCCAGGCTGGTCTCCAGCTCATCAGCTCAAGCAATCCTCCCCACTCAGCCTCCCAAAGGGCTAGCATTACAGGTGTGAGCCACCACCCCCAGCCTTTTTGAACTTTGTTGATCATGGAGCCCTCACAGTAAGTTTTGTGAGAATGGACCAGGCATATTTATTTATTTACAGCTAATACTACCAAACTGATCTGTTTCGTACATGATCAAATATACATGGAAATAGAAAAGTTAACAAGACTAAGAAAATAGATAAAAATGTGAGTTCTGATATTTTGCTTTCTGATCTCTAGCAGATCTCTGTGTATCTGCTGTGGGGCAGCTACCCCAGTTTTGGAGACTACTGAGGGTTAGGAAGTGGTGATTGGGTGTGATTGCTTGCCAGTGGCCCCAGCATCAGGAGGATAAATCAGAGCCACCAGAGCTGGGAGGCCAGCCCTGTCTGAGCTTTCTCACTTTGGTGCTATGGGGCACTGAGGTATCAGGAGCCACAAGCAGACACCTTATGTACCTACCACCAAACAGATCTGCACATGCCGCTGTTTTCTTAGTCTCCTCTCCAGTCCGGCTACTTTGCCTCGATTCTAGCATACTCCTCAGGGTGTGTCATGATCCATTATGGGAGCTACCCATTAGAACTACTTTGCCTCTGCAGAAATTGGAACTGTGGCTGGCTCCAGGAAGCTTGTAAAATAGGAGAGACTTGCCTGCAATGCCATCTCTCTCCCTTGAGAGGTAGCCAGGCTTCTCCATTCCCCTCTGTCTTTCCATAGTTTGCTATTGCCATGGACTAGCTAAATGTCGTGGGTTGGGATGTCTCAGAAGAAGAGCCTGAGCTAAACATTTGAGAGCAAGAAGTTTATCTGGAAGGCAGGGAGAAAGGAAGTAGGGCAGTGGGGAAGTGAGAAAGGAAGGGAAGGCAATCAAGAGAGATTAAGTCCAGCCTGATGAGGTGGAGAGGGCAGCCATTTTTCAATCTTAACATCTGGGCGCCTTTCTTTATGTTATTGCAGCATTATCACAAGGAAAGAAGTTCATTTTGATTTCTAGTTCCCCTCTCCCATTTCACACCCTACTTAAGTACTATAGCAAATGCATAGCTCTGGAAGCCCCCTTCCCTCCTCTTTCCTCTGGCTCTGAGTTATCCTCCTGATGCTGGGGCCACTGGCAAGCAATCACACCCAATCACCACTTCCTAACCCTCAGTAGTCTCCAAAACTGGGGTTGCTGCCCCACAGCAGATACACAGAGATCTGCTGGAGATCAGAAAGCAAAACATCAGAACTCACATTTTTATCTATTTTCTTAGTCTTGTTAACTTTTCTATTTCCATGTATATTTGATCATGTACGAAATAGATCAGTTTGGCAGTATTAGCTGTAAATAAATAAATATGCCTGGTCCATTCTCACAAAACTTACTGTGAGGGGTCCATGATCAACAAAGTTCAAAAAGGCTGGGGGTGGTGGCTCACACCTGTAATGCTAGCCCTTTGGGAGGCTGAGTGGGGAGGATTGCTTGAGCTGATGAGCTGGAGACCAGCCTGGGCAACATAGCAAGACCTCATCTCTATTAAAAAAAAAAAAATAGCCAGGTATGGTGGGACATGTCTGTTGTCCCAGCTTCTCAGGAGGCTGAGGCAGGAGGATCACTTGAGCTTGCAAGATCAAGGCTGCAGTAAGCCATGATTGAGCCACTGTACTCCAGCTGTTTGACTCTAGGCTACAGTTCCTAATGGGTGAAGAGGGATCATAATAGTATATACCTCAGAGGATGGGGTGTGGATGAAATAAGGTTAACATATGTCAAATTTAAAAGTGCCTAGAACATGGTCAGTACTTGATAGATGTTATCATTATGGTGATTTATTCACTTACATCAATTTGGTTCATTTAACAATCGGAGGCTGACTGTAAGACCCCTGTGGTGCTCAAAGTAACATTTCAGTGTTCTTTGTACAATAGAAAAATACAGTGAAGTTGTTGATTTAAAGCAAATTCTAAGTTTTCAACAAATCACATAAAGGGCACAGCCAATCCAATTCATGGTCCAGGGGCTGGCCATTAAAATAACCACCTAAATCATGAGCTTTTTCTCTGCTTTCCTTTCTTTCTGTGGTTAAACAAATATTTGGTGAGTACCTCTTTTGCATTCAGTAACGAGTAGGTTTAAAACTGAGGATGTGACCAGGTGCAGTGCTTCATGCCTGTAATCCCAGCACTTTAGGAGGCCAAGGCGGATCACCCGAGGCCAGGAGTTTGAGACCAGCCTGGCCAACATGGTGAAATCCCGTCTCTACTAAAAATACAAAAATTAGCCAAGTGTGCTGGTGTATGCCTGTAATCCCAGCTACTTGGGAGGCTGAGACAGGAGAATCGCTTGAACCTGGGAGGTAGAGGTTGCAGTGAGCCCAGATCGTGTCACTGCACTCCAGCCTGGGCAACAGAGGGAGACTGTGTCTCAAAAAAAAAAAAAAAAAAAGAAAAAGAGAAAAAACACCACACAACTGGGGATGCCAACAGGAATGAAATAGATCCTTTCCCTTTAGGATTTCACATGTATAAAGGGCAAATTATATCACACATTGAGCAGCTCTATAATTGGACACACATATGGCTTTGAGAGCCAGAAGACAGAGTGACTAATTCCCCATTGGTGATTCAGGAAAGGCCTCACACAGAGGAGGTGACATTGGAATAACTGTATCTAGACATAGCCATCATTTAATGGCTGAGGATTGAATAGGCATTTGGCTGGGAGAGCCAGCTGTATAGCTACATTGTCCACTGTTTTTTCGAAGCCTCAGTAATTATGCTATCATTTTACAATTTGTGTGGCAGCCTCATCAGGTCCTACTCTTGGCGTCCCCACCGTGGAAACCTGAATGGTTGTATTGCCTCATAATGAGGCCCTCTGGTGATGTTTAATATACTAATAGGAGGGCAGAAGCCCAGAGCCACCTCACCGGTTATTTTTCAAGTGACTCCATCCGATTAAATGGCAAACTAGGTAACCACTTTACTAGATCTCCTGTGGCTCTCAATTGCAGAAAGGAATCTTGCTAAAGAGCAGCTTGGGTGGGGTTATGAAATGGTTATGGCTAGAGTCCTGTAAATTTTAGCTGGTGAAACCTAAGACCAGTAAGCTTGAAAACGTGGATGCTGTGTCACCAGCTAGGAGGAGTTTGCTAGGGAAAGTGCTGGCGGTGCAGCTGCGGTCAGCATGAGCCTCTGGGAACAAGACCACCGCTAGATTGCCTCGAACATAGCAGAACTGTGGCTGCTGGTGTTCATTACTGCCGGGGCACTTTGAATTTTCAAGTATGTCTTCCTCCTCTCCCAAACCCAGCAGCATTATAGGCCAACTTTCCTTCCCCTCTCTGCTGCAGAAGGGAGGTGATTCTCCCTTCACAGATAGGTCCTCCCACAAGGAGCTATTGAACAGCTGGTAGAGTATGTCTTAAGACCCAGTGGCTGCTCCCTTAAACCCACACCTTTCTAGAACCAAGCAAGAATGTTTAGTTTTTCCAGTTCCTTCTCTTAATTGTACCACGCCACTGTAACGTTTTCTGAAAATTATCCTCAGTTTACCTAAAGAATGCTTTTCTGGGCTGGGGGTGGTGGCTCACGCCTGTAATCCTAGCACTTTGGAAGGCCAAGGTGGGTAGATCACGAGGTCAAGAGATTGAGACCATCCTGGCCAACATGGTGAAACCCCGTCTCTACTAAAATACAAAAATTAGCTGGGCGTGGTGGCGCATGCCTGTAGTCCCAGCTACTCAGGAGGCTGAGGCAGGAGAATTGCTTGAAACTGGGAGCCAAGATTGCGCCACTGCACTCCAGCCTGGTGCCTAGTGACAGAGCAAGACTCTGTCTCAAAAAAAGAAAAAAAAAACAGTGCTTTTCTGCTCTTCTTTACTGAAATTCTCTTTTCTATTTTGTACGGATGGCAGATTATTCATGCAAACAGTAGCCTGGTCCTGCCCATACAGAGCCTGGTCCCTTTGGAAGCAGTCACGTGGCCGCTGACTTTGCAGCCCACTACTTGAGCTCATCTTCAGGCCAGTAACAGAGCAGGGCTGGGGCAGAGAGCTGCACTCACAGCCAGCGCACTGAATCCTAGATTCCTGGCTCTGGGCTTGCCTTCCAGGCTGAAAGGCAGAGCAGCCTGGCCCTGTTCTAATTATTTATTTTTGTATGAGTGTGTATATACGTTTGTTTGTTTGTTTAAGCAAGAGATCTCTCTGCAGAGTGGGGGGTGTGTGTGTGTTGGGGGGTGCTTCAGAGAGAGCTGAAATTGTACCTCTTTTCTTTTAGACCTCTACGTTCCACCATAAAGAAGTTTTCTTTCTCGTCTTCATTTCTTTTGAAACACCCGGGGTGAGAAAAAAAACCTCTGCATTGGCCAAACGGAAGAAACAGGTAATATGTTTGTTTTTTCTTAGGGATTTGGGGCAAGCAGAAGTCTACATCATAAACATATATTGTGTGGCAATGGAACAGGGAATGTGTATTCGTTGGAGTATATCTTACTGCTTTGCAATTTCTCGGAATGATTGTTCTCAGAGATGCTGGTTGTAAATCAATTGCCATCAGTTGAAGAAGATGTACAGATGACTTGGCAATCTGAAGGTTTGTGGCCTATTTCAAATGAACTTGATATTTGGAAAAACTCCATGGTCACTTGGGTTGAGAGCTAGAAAATGAGGGAAGGGATTCTTCCAGAAACCCTTCTAGGTCCCTTCAGGGAGTGTTCTCCAAACTCTACTGCATTCCTTCATATTTAGAAATCTTCCTTTAGCTCCCTTGGCTCCTTGGCACCTTAGAGGTTTCCAGCTATCTGTGAGACTGGAAACAGAATTCCTTACAGTGTCCAAAATTCTCTTTAGTGATTTAGTTATTATGCAAAGTGGTCAGATTAGATCCTGAAACCAAAGCATAGTCTTTTAGTGGGAAGACATTTTTGTTCTTTAATGATTAAACAGAGCGAGTCTTCAGTTCTGCCACTAAGCAGCTATGCCAGGGAGTATGGTATTTACCTCCTGAGTCTCAATTTTGTTCATCTGTAACATGGAGATGACAATACCACCTTGAAAGTTTGCTGTGAGAGTGAACTGAAATAATAGAAATATAAAGCACCCGCTGTGCTGGGTAAATAGTAGTCCCTTAATCAATAGTAGTGATTTTAGCTACCATTATGATTGCTGGTATAGCATTCGTTCAGATCTTAGAGCTCTCAAGGGAAAAGAGCCCATTGCTTTGTGACTCTCAGTTATCCCAGAACTTGTAGGTACCCAAGGGCTTTAGTCTTTGGGAGGCCCCAGACAAAGCATTCTAAAGAAAGAGACTTAAACAAATACAGTGGGTCCCCACCCATGCATGCCCCCTCCTAACTCATCAGCTAAAAAGAGTTGGTCTTTGTTCAAGCCAGTTTTTTCCCCGCCACTAAGTCCTCAGTACAAGTCAGCAAGATATGCATTATTATCTCTGTTTTCTTATGAGGAAACTGAGGTACAGAGGAATTAATGACTAGCTGAGAATTCAAACTCCTGTTGTCTGACTTCTAAACCCAAGGCTCCACTGGGCCAGCATTAGGCAGTTAGGAACAATAGTTCTTGAGATGCCTTACTTCAAAAGGGCTCCTTGCTAGGCTGTTTGGGAAATAGTGATCAGCTCTTTCTGAGAGATTCACAGTGTATGTTCATACATTAAAGGCTCTGAGAAGTGCTGCAATAAAGAAACCTTTTCAACCCTACATACCCTAAACTTATTATGCGATGGTGGGACCTTTATTTTGGCCTTAGTCCTAGAATCATAAACCACATAGAACTACTCTTCCACAAATACACTCTGGAAAACCTGGCACCAGGCCAAGCTGTTTCCTGATTACAGTCATGTCTGATATACCAGCAGATAGTTTCAGACACTTTCTTGTGGTCAGTATAATTCCCTCCATTTTCTTTTCTTTTCTTTTTTTGAGATGGGAGTCTTGCTCTTGTCACCCAGGCTGGAGTGCAATGGCATGATCTCGGCTCACTGCAACCTCTACCTCCTGGGTTCAAGTGATTCTCCTGCCTCAGCTTCCTGAGTAGCTGGGATTACAAGCACCCACCACCACACCTGGGTAATTTTTGTACTTTTAGTAGACACAGGGTTTCGCCACGTTGGCCAGGCTGGTCTTCAACTCCTGACCTCGTGATCTGCCCACCTCAGCCTCCCAAAGTGCTAGGATTACAGGTGTGAGCCATTGTACCCGGCCTCCTCCCTTTTCTTATCCTCTAATCTGGCGAGACCCAGGAAGAATCACCAGCTTAGTCTTATAGACATCCCCTTACTCATTTAATATCCCAGACATAAGCAATTGCTCCAGTATTCTGCTGGAAATGTAGTAGTAGAAGGGACCTCTCTGGTGCAGGCCGCCAGGGACTCCTCTGCCTCACCCTATGCCTCTTCACTATATTTAGGCCACAGATATCAGGCTATAAAACCTCTGTGGCAATGAATACCAAGCAGAATGCAATAGGGAGAGCCTGAGGAGGCATCTGTTCTCTACGCTAGCCCAGTCCAGTGGGGAAGAATTACACCTGCCTACTTCACCCTCACTGTGGTGGTTGGGGGCGAGGGTAGAGAGTATTGGTGTCAATTGAATGGCTATGGTTTCTAGGTTTTAGTTAATCAGGGCTAGAGCTAAAGCCAATTTCTTGCTGAAGCCAACATCTCTAGGAAAAGCTAAATTCTAGCGTGGGAAATTGTGAAGCTGACATCTAGAATGCCAGAGAGGGGTCGTGTCAGGGTGACTGAGCCAAGGTGTGGGAATGGGATAGAGATGAGCTTAGAAATCAAATCACCTTAGGAATGAGCAAGAACAACTCGGGGAGGCTGGGCTAGTGGTTGGAGGGTGCTTGGTGGCAGAGGGAGGTCATGTTGTCTCTGCAGCCTGTCTTTTGTTCTTCCCTTGTATTTTCAGCATTAGAAGTGAAAGATTAGGATGAAAAAAACTGAAAAATTATCAGTTCCACCCACTCACCCCCAACACACACACAGTAAAAACCTTTTAGCGGAAGTCTTTCCTTTTGCAGTTTGTAAGTGCATGCCAGTGATGATCCATTATTGCATACTTACCCTTTAAAACCATCCTTGGTATATATTGGAGGGGACTGCAGCACTTGCCAAGTTTCAAGCTGTTTTGTTTTTTTTGTTTTTTGCCAAGATCCATCCAGGGGCTTGTGTTACCCACTAGGGCCTTTTTGGGCCTTTGTGACCCCTGTGGACGCCCCCCACCTCTTTGGGCCTGAGAATCCTTTTCAGACCTCAGGGAATCACTTCTTCAGAGACTTCTTTAATGCACTAAGAGCTTTCCTAATACTGACAGAGGGTGGGAAATGGAAGAAGCTTAGATTTTATGAAGTCATGGAAAATCCCATCATTTTTATTAGCTTTACAGTCAGAGATGTCCTTAAAGGCACATGCATTGCTTACAAACTCACTTCCCTCGCTCCTGGAAGTCTAGGTGGGGCAGTACATGGGAGGGGTAAGTGGTACCTTGCTTTACCAGCTCATATTTTGGTGAGAATGTAAAAGAACTGACTTTTTTTTGTGACCTATTACCTGAGAGAAAAACAGGTAAAAAATAAATTGATAATAATGTAAAAAATTCTAATAGCCAATTTTTTTCTAATGGATAATAAAATTTTAGAATAATAATCACGTCTTTCCATCATGATTTAAAAGCTTTTTTTAAAAATTGATGTATAAGTACCACCCCTTTCTGATTTAATAAAATGCTTTTGTATAATCAAATAGCACACACCTGTATACAAAATGATGGATTAATAATGACTTTTAGCAACTAAATTTTTAAAGGACTCTGGCCTAGAAATATTGAGTCCTATATTCATTCATTCATTCATTCATTTAGCATTATCCAACATCTGCAATGTGAAGGGCACCATGTGGGTGCCAGAGATTCAAGGGATATTTAGGAAGTTGCCCATGGGGCAAATAGTCTAACAGAAATATACTCAAGTTTGATGCTTTTGAGTTCTTAATGAATCTTTTATATGAAATTGTGTTTGTTGTGTAATTTTGTTTGTTGTGAATTAACTGAGGGGTGACAGAACCAATTGCCTCTGGAGAGACATTGAGACATTGCTTTTTTTGTGTGGAAAAATAAAATTGGAATTGAAATATATCAATCAGTCCAATCAGTGTTTATGGCCTACCGAATGCTCAATTCTTTTTTTTCCCTGTTTTCTTTTTTAAATTAAAAAATATACTTTTTTTTGGGGGGGGGGGTCAGGGTCTCACTCTGTCGCCCAGGCTGGAATGCAGTGGTGTGATCACGGTTCACTGAAGCCTGGACCTCCCAGGCTCGGATGATCCTCCCGCCTCAGCCTCCTGAGTAGTTGGGACTACAGGTGTGTGCCACCATGCCTGGCTAATTGTATTTTTTATAGAGATGGTGTCTCCCTATGTTGCCCAGGCTGGTCTCAAGCTCCTGGGCTCAAAGGATCCGTCTGCTTCAGCCTCCCAAAGTGCCAGGATTATGAGTGACAGCCACTGCACCCAGCCCCAATTCTTATGTCTTCATAAAAAGGTATAGAAAAAATAGCATGAGGATGGAGCAAAGCCCAAGGGAGAGATGCATACTGTTAGAAAGTAGTGTTTCGCCGGGCGCGGTGGCTCAAGCCTGTAATCCCGGCACTTTGGGAGGCCGAGGCGGGTGGATCACGAGGTCGAGAGATCGAGACCATCCTGGTCAACATGGTGAAACCCCGTCTCTACTAAAAAATAGAAAAAATTAGCTGGGCATGGTGGCACGTGCCTGTAATCCCAGCTACTCAGGAGGCTGAGGCAGGAGAATTGCCTGAACCCAGGAGGCGGAGGTTGCACTGAGCCGAGATCGCGCCATTGCACTCCAGCCTAGGTAACAAGAGCGAAACTCCGTCTCAAAAAAAAAGTAGTGTTTCTCCAACTGAGATGTGGGGCTTGCTTACATCAAAGTTCCCGGAAGGGTGCACTTTAAATGCATATTCCAAGGCCCTGGACTTTTGAATCTGAGTATTGTCAGTAGAGCCTGGGAATCTGCATCCCCCTACCCCCAGTAAATCTTGTGAGCACTTGATTTGGAGAGCACTGATCTAGGTACCTGGACAGTGTTGCCACGACTAGATGAATTCCTAGATGAATAGTGCCCCAATTTCAAAAATGAGGAAAGAGTAGATGCTAGAAGCCACAGATTTGGTGGCCTGACATGACCTCTGGAAAAATTCAGCTTGAACTAGATGGAGCCACCAGACGCAGTGGCTCACACCTGTAATCCCAGCACTTTGGAAGGCTGCGGTGGGTGGATTACGAGGTCAGAAGTTCAAGACCAGCCTGGCCAAGATAGTAAAACTTTGTTTCTACTAAAATACAAAAATTAGCCAGGTGTGGTGGTGGGTGCCTGTAATCCCAGCTACTCAGGAGGCTGAGGCACAGAATTGCTTGAACCCGGGAGGCGGAGGTTGCAGAGAGCCGAGATCGTGCTACTGCACTTCAGCCCAGGCAAAGAAGCAAGTCTTCATCTCAAAAAAAAAAAAAAAAAAAAAAAAAAAAAAAAAAAAAAAAAAAAAAAAAGATGGAATCAAAGCAGTTCTAGGAAAATGTGATCATCACTATGCAGCAGCATAGGTTTGCTAAGATATCATCTCTGTTAGAGATTGTCAAACTTTCCTGTGTATTAGAATCTGAAAAACTGAAAAAAATCTTAATGACCAATCCCTGACCCAGTACCAGTTACATCAAATTCTCTGGGGTTGGGACTTGGGCATCAGTATTTTTTAAACCCCAAGAGATTCTGACTTAATGAGGTGCAGGCTGAGTACGGGGAGTTTGAACAGCTCCCCAGGTGATACTAATATGCGACAAAGTATGACAACCACAGTTCCATATGACATGGGACAAGATGCTTAACTTCCATGCCCATTGTGTAAATACTAGGTAATTTTAAAAGTCTCTCTCACCTTAAAACCTCTATGATTTTGTTATTAACAATCTTCCCAAATTGATTTCCTTCCTTTATTCCTCCTCTGCCCTTCCTTTTCTCCTCCTCCTCTCTCTCTTCTTTTGCTGGAATAAGCTGAAATGTCAAAGTATCAAAATATATATCATCATTTTATTAAGATGTTTAGTAAAATTTTCCAGGATGTCTCACAGATAAATGAGAGTTATGATAGGCAAGTTTACCACCTAACTGAACAAATGTGCTCAGAGAGTTTGAAGGTAACAGATCTGTGGTGAACAGGGAGGATGGTTGTTAATTTTCTTTAGACATGATTTAGATAGGGAAGACACAAAAGAAGTGCCTATCAAATTTGGAAATAAGAACCAAGCACAATGGCTCATGCCTGTAATCCCAGCACTTTGGGAGGCTGAGTTGGGCACGTTGTTTGAGGCCAGGAGTTTGAGACCAACTTGGGCAACATGGTGATGCCTCGTGTCAACAAAAAAAGTACAAAACTTAGCTGGGTATGGTGGCACATTCTTGTAGTTTCAGCTGCTCAGGAGGCTGAGGTGGGAGGATCACTTGAGCCCAGGAGGTGGAGGCTGCAGTGAGTCATGGTTGCACCACTGCACTCCAGCCTGGGTGACAGAGTGAGACTTTGTCTTAAAAAATAAATAAATAAAAATTTGGAAATAACCCAAAGTTTAGGAAGTTTAATTAATTCAATACATGAAATAATCAGGTTTACCTCCGGTCAGAAAATCTGTTTATTAAGCTTATTGTTATTTTCAAAATATTGCCATGGTTCAAATGTTTTGCTTATTTTACTTTCCCCTTTCTTCAGTTGAGTTGAAATTTTTAAGCTTTTAGTGTAGTACTAATGGAAAGATAGATATGTCAGTTGTTCTCCGACTTTGTTCCTGTCAAGAAATCAAACAGAGCTGGGCAAGATGGCTCAGACCTGTAATCCCAGCACTTTGGGAGGATGAGGTCGGAGAGTCACTTGAGCCCAGGAGTTTGAGACCAGCCTCAGTAACATAGGGAGACCCTGTCTTGATAAAAAACTAAATTAGCCGGGTGTCATGGTGCGTGCTTGAGAGATTAAGGCTGCAGTGAGCTGTGATTGTGCCACTACACTCCATCCTGGGTAACAGAGTGAGACCCTGTCTGGAAGAAAAAAACGGAATGCAAATATATTAGATCAGGTTGATTTGGAATATCTCAAAATAAAGGAAACACCACCCTAAAAAGTGACATGATGGTATACTATGGAAAGGAGTTTTGTTGAATACACCCATCAAGTGATTATGGGAGTCAGGGAGCTCATGGAATGACCGCAGAACACAAATTAGACTCCAGAGGGGCCTCGGCAGTGCCTGGAGAGCTTGTTTAAAAGGGCACTCTTGGCCAAGTGCAGTGGCTCATGCCTGTAATCCCAGCACTTTGTGAGGCGGAGGCAGGTGGATCACCTGAGGTCAAGAGTTCGAGACCATCCTGGCCAACCTGGCGAAACTCAGTCTCTACTAAAAATACAAAAAATTAGCCAAGCATGGTGGCGCACACCTGTAGTCCCAGCTACTCAGGAGGCTGAGGCGGGAGTATCATCTGAGCCTGGGAGGTTGAGGCTACAGTGAGCCGTGATCACACCATTGCACTCCAGCCTGGGCGACAGAGCGAGACTGCATCTGAAAAAATAAAAATAAAATAAAATAAAAGGGCATTCTCACAGATAACGATTCCTAAATTTGAGGAGTGGTTTCAAGCCTCCTTTTTTTGGTTGGTGTTTTGTTTTGTTTTGTTTTGTTTTTTTTTCTTTGAGACGGAGTTTTGCTCTTGTTACCCAGGCTGGAGTGCAATGGCACGATCTCGGCTCACCGCAACCTCCGCCTCCTGTGTTCAGGCAATTCTCCTGCCTCAGCCTCCTGAGTAGCTGGGATTATAGGCACGCACCACCATGCCCAGCTAATTTTTTGTATTTTTAGTAGAGATGGGGTTTCACCATGTTGACCAGGGTGGTCTCGATCTCTTGACCTCGTGATCCACCTGCCTCGGCCTCCCAAAGTGCTGGGATTACAGGCTTGAGCCACCACGCCCGGCCTCAAGCCTCCTTTTTTTAAAACAAGTCCCCAACCTATTCTGAGAAATACTGTCAAAGAACTCACTTTGAATTTTAGCGTAATTGTTTAAATATGTTGTTTTTGTCTCATAGTCAGCTTCTAATTTGTGTTTTTAAAAGCCTAGATAGGTTGAATTACTTTGAGCTGAAAACCGAAACAGTTAATTATGCTCCTCCACATCCCATTCCCTGTATTTAAATTAGAAAATCGTGCACTCTCATATTTCCATTTTTCTTTTCATTTTGAATGCTCTATTTTATACAGAGCTGGATGTGACCTAGACATGGTGAAACTCATTTATGTCTAGCAGAGAAGCAGCCTATAGCTGCTCTGTAGCTGCTACTGTGTTTTGGAAAATAAACCAGGATTAGATTATGTCTGATCACTTTCGACATCACATGATGAACAGCGATTCAGAAGAAGCATAAAATGAATCCTGCTGAGCAGCCCCTCAGCTACCATGTGGTTAACTGGCAATTTCCTTCCCTCCCTCCTGTCTTCCTCATTAGAATCTGTGACTGAAGAGGATCGGCTAAGAGTGGTTCCTTGCAGCTTAAAGGGAGGGACTTTTCACACTCTGTCTTAAAATCAGAAGTTGAATTTGTGAACACGTATGATTTAGATAGAAGTCATGGGATGCAACACTTCTTCAACGAGAATCAAGAATTCTCAGACATGTGAGTACTGGGAATGTGCCTGTGTTTATGAATGAAAAGGGGCAAATGAGCTGGTCTCACCCTCTCACCCTTTCTCATTTACTCCCACGATGCTCAAGCTGCCCTGTGTGATTTGCACAAGGCATCATTAGAGGAGCATAGGAAACTACATTTAGGAAGATGTAGCTTTGAATTTATGAAGTACCATAAAGTATTGTCTTAGAGATAGTTTATGATTGATTTAATTTCAGTTCAAAATGTACCAATATAAAATCTCAATTTAAAACTCAGTGGCAGGGAACAAGAAAGACATTGTAATTTATATATGTTTCTTTAATACTTTTACAAATAGCTATATGCATACTTTCGTGACATTTAGTAGCATCATTGAATTTTTATTAGATTTTATAACCCAATGATCACATTACTTCTATATCTGTTCAACACAGAACTTCATGAGATTTGCCTCTTGTTTTAAAAATATTCTAGGAGAATTGGGAGAATGCTAGATCATCTGTTTCCAAAAAAAGGTGTATTGTTTCTAAATAGATGACATGCCTTTCTTTACCCCCATATAATGAGAAGCTTAAATATTCACTTTGTTTATTTTGTACTGAGGTTCTTATGGCTATTGGCATCTAGTTAAAACAAACTTGAGTGTTTAAGGGATAGAGCTTCCAACGAGCAAATTAAAATAAAAACAAATAAGCCGAGACAATTACTGTGAGTAATTTCCTCTTAAACTCCACTTCTTTGATGTCTCAGTTACAGATAATTTCCCCAATTTCTGTTCCAGATCTTGCTTTTGGAAGTTTATTCAGGCTTAAGGTGGAGAGTTTAGGATGTAGAATGTGCTATACTAAATAGCATGGGATGTTTTCCTTTGGGAATCAAATGTTGTTCTCCTACCCAGCTGACTTGCGCTGATGATGTAGGAAACTCATCTCTGAAAGTAGGAAGGGACATAGGAGCTGTACTAACTCTTTCAAATCTTTAAGCATGACATGAAATAAATCTTTCAAAAACTCTGTCTGAACTCTACTACTATAGTAGCCATTTATTAGCAGAGAGTAAAGAGAAATTATCTTTTTATATTTAGGATCACTAGATATAAAAAAGTTCTTTAAATTTAGCCACATTTCTTAGGTTTAAAAAAAAAAGGCCAAGTCCAACTTGTAAAAACAAATTCTCTCTCTTTTTGAAATACTTTTCAACTTATAAGCCATTGCATGTAAATGGAAATATAAGCTTCAATTTCTGGATTGCTTTTTCTTTCAAATACCTGTGATTTATTGAGGGGAAATTCACCTAACATAAAATTAGCCATTGTAAAGTGAACAACTCAGTAGCAGTTGGTATGTTCACAGTGTTGTGCAATCACAACCCCTATCTACTTCTGAAACATTTCCAATACTCCAAAGTAAAATCCCTTATCCATTAAGTACTTTCTCTCTCCTCTCAGACCCTGGCAACCACAAATCTACGTTCAGCCTCTATGGATTTATCTATTATGGACATTTCATGTAAATGGAGTCATACATTACATGACCTTTTGTGTCTGGCTTTGTCCGTGTTGTGGCATGTATCAGTACTTTATTCCTTTTTATTGCAGAATAATATTTCATGGTATGAATAAGCCACATTATGTTTATTCATCAATTGATAGACATTTGGATTGTTTCAGCTTGGCTGTTTTTTGTTTTTTTTTTTTTGAGGCAGAGTCTTGCTCTGTCGCCCAGGCTGGATTACAGTGGGGTGATCTTGGCTCACTGCAACCTCTGCCTCCCAGGTTCAAGTGATTCTCCTGCCTCAGCTTCCAGAGTAGCTGGGATTACAAGCGCCTGCTGCTGCACCCAGCTAATTTTTGGTAGAGATGAGGTTTCGCCACATTGGCCAGGCTAGTCTCAAACTCCTGACCTCAGGTGATCTGCCCGCCTCGGCCTCCCAAAACGCTGAGATTATAGGTATGAGCCACCGTGCCCAGCCTGTTTCAGCTTTTCGACCATTATGAACAATGCTGTTGTGAGCAAATGTTTTCAGTTCTCTTGGGTATATACCTAGAAGTGGAATTGCTGGGTCATATGGTAGCTCTATGTTTAACATTTTTAGAAATTTCCAAGCTATTTTCCCAAGTGACTGTGCCATTCTACATTCCTACCAGCAATGTATAAGGGTTTCAGTTTCTCCACGTTATCGGCAATAGTTGTGACTGTCTATTCTTTTGATGATAGTCATCCTAGTGAGTATGAAGTGGTATCTCACTGTAGCTTTCATTTGGATTCCCTAATGAGTGATGACATTGAACATCTTTTCATGTTCAGATACAAGTTTCTTATCAAATATGTGATTCGTAAATCTTTTTTCCTATTCATTGGATACTCTTCATACTTTGTTGATGGTGTTCTTTGAAGCACAAAAGTTTTTAATTTTGATGAAGTTCACTTTATTTTTTCTTTAGTCACTTGTACTTTTGGTGTCATATCTAAGAATCCATCCCCAAATCCAAAAATATTTATGCTCATATATCTTACTTTAAGAGTTCTCTAATAATTCAACAAGAAAAAAAAATAACCCCATTAAAAAGTGGGCAAAGGTCACGAACAGACATTTTTCAAAAGAAGGCATACAAATGGCCAACAAACATAAGAAAAAAATGCTCAACATCACTAATCATCAGATAAATGCAAACTGAAACCACAGTGAGCTGCCCTCTTATATACCAGTCAGAATGGCTATTACTAAAAAGTCAAAAAACAAGAGATGTAGGCGAGAATGTAGGGAAAAGGGAATGCCTACCACTGCTGGCAGGAGTGTAAATTAGTACAACCTCTATGGAAAACATTACGGAGATTTCTCCAAGAACTAAAAATAGGACTACCAAACTACCGTTTCATCCAGCAATCCCACCATGGACTCTACCCAAAGGAAGTCATTATATCAAATAGATACCTGCACTCTTATGTTTACTGCAGCACTATTCACAATAGCAAAGATATGGAATCACTGTGTCTTTCAATGGGTGACTGGTTAAAGAAAACGTGGGGTTTGTGTGTGTGTGTGTGTGTGTGTGTGTGTTTGCATGTGTGTATGCCATGGAATACTACTCAGCCATAAAAAGGAATGAAATCATGTCTTTTGCAGCAACATGGATGGAACAAGATGCCATTATCCTAAGTGAAATTACTCAAAAACAGAAAGTCAAATACCCCACGTTCTTACATATAAGTGGGAGCTAAATCATGTGTACACATGGGCACAGAGAATAGAATAGAAGACACTGGAGACTCAGAAAGCTGGGAGGCTGGGAGGGGGGTGAGGGATGAGAAATTACTTAATGAGTACAGTGTACACTAAAAGCCCAGGCTTCATTATATGTGTAACAAAATTGCACTTGTACCCCCTAAATATATATATATTTAAAGGCAAAAAAGCCAGTTTTCTGGTTTTAGCTCTTACATTTAAGCTTTTGGACCATTCTGAGTTGTTGATTGTCACATATGGTATGAGGTAGAAGTACAAATTCATTTTTTGCATGTGGTTATCCAGATGTCCTAGCACCGTTTGTTGAAAAGACTGTTCTTTCCCCATTGAATGATCTTAGTACCATTGTCAAAAAATCAATTGACCATAAATGTTGTTTATTTCTGGGCTCTCACTTCTATTCCATTGATCTATACCTTTTTCTTATGCCAGTACCAGTGTCTGCGTTACTATAGCTTATTTTTAAATAAAGTTTCAAAATTGGGAAGTATGAATCCTTCAACTTTCTCTTTTTCAAGATTATTTTGGCTATTCTGGGTCTCTTACATTTCCATATAAATTTTAGAATCAGTGTGTTAATGTCTCAAAAGAAGCCAGCTGGAATGTTGACAGGGGTTGTGTTGAATCTGTAGATGAACTTGGGGAGTATTGCGATCTTAATTAAATAATCTGATCCATGAATATGGGATGCCTTTCCATCTATTTAGGTCTTTCTTTCACCAGTGTCTTGTAGTGTTCAGAGTGTAAGTTTTATACTTCTTTCATTAAATTTAACCTAGGTTTTAAAATTCTTTTTGATGATATACATGGATTTTTGTTAATTTCCTTTTTGAATTGTTTATTGCAAGTGTTTAAAAATCGATTTTTGTATATTGGTCTTGTATCCCAAAACCTTGCTGAACTCATTTATTAGCTCTAATCGATTTTTACTGGATATTTTAGAAATTTTTATTGACAAACCAGGTCATCCGCAAATATAGTTTTACTTGTTTGTTTCCAATGCCTTTTGTTTCATTTTCTTGCCTCCACTACAATGTCAAATAGAAATGCAAGAGTAGCCATCCTTGTCTTGTTACTGATCTTAGGGGAGAAGCATTCAGTCTTTCACCAGTAAGTCTTATTTTGGTTTTATCTTTATCATAGATGCTCTTTATCAGGTTGAGAAAACACACTCCTATTCCTAGTTTATTGATTTTTTAAATTATTACAAAGTGGTATTTAATTTTGTCAAGTACTTTTTCTGCATGTATTGAGATGATCATGTGGTTTTTGTCCTTTATTTTATGATATGGCATATTATGTTAATTGATATTAAACCAGCTTGGCCTTCCTAAGATAAATCCCCTCAGTCTTGGTGTATAATGCTTTTTATGTGTTGCTGAATTCAGTTTGCTGGTATTTTGTAGAGGAATTTTGCATCTATATTCATAAGAGATACTGGTGTCTAGTTTTTTTGTGATATCTTTGTCTAATTTAACTGTCAGGGCAATATTGGCCTTATAGAACAAGTTGGAAAGTGTTCCTTTCCCTTCCATTTTTTGGAAGAGTTTATGAATATTTGGTATTAATTCTTTAAATATTTGGTAGAATTCATAAGTGAAGCTATCTGGGTATGAAATTTTCTTTGTGTGTAGTTTCTTTGATTACGTATTCTGTCTCTTGTTATGTGCCAGTTTAGATTTTCTATTTCTTCTTGAGTCATTTGTGGTAGTTCTAGGAATTTGTCCATTTCATCTGTTATCTAATTTGTTAACATATAC